CCTCCATAAAAAAGGTACAATGTATTGACGCTGGCCATGCCCCTGACAACGTCACAGATGATGAAACAGGAGGATTATTTCTTTGCTTTGGAATATCCCATATGAGGCTACAAGGAATTCAGGTGCTCTTTGAGTTTTGTTCTGAAGGACGCATTCTTATGAAGTACTATTAGTCCAGTGATTGTTTCTGGGAAACTTACAGCACTTATTGACCTTCCTTTGCGGTCAAAATGATTCGGTAAGGGGCTGTGTGTTTGGTGTTGGTGAAGGACCTTTCTTTTCCCCTTCAATGTTTTCTTCTGGACAGATATTGGATTTATGCTGCTGCTTTAACACTGGACTCTCTATATTCTATATGTTGCATTTCTTGTTTTATGTTATTTTAGACATACACTTAGTGCTGCATTTTCTCCATTTTATATAGTTTATATTTTGTAACCTTTAATACTGTGCTAGCTGCTAGTGTGGATCTAACTGTTGATTTTACAATTGATCTCAAGCGCTATTTTATGTTTCTATAGGCAGAAGTGATGTCTGCTTGTGGGGGGGTGAACTGCCTATACATCTCCTCTAGCTCTGTGGGCTCCGCAGGTGGCCGTGGTTTTCCATCACTAAAGGGTCTGCGGAACGGGGACACTATGACCATGCAGATGTGGATTTGACATGCAAGATATGTATTTTTAATGTGACCTGTTATAACATTTTTGAATAAACTGCCCATTGCTGCACTTTGGCACTTCCCTGTCTTTCTGTACTGGGCTCACAGAGGAGCGGTGGGGTAAACCACATGCAATTTGGACAGGATTTGCACTGTATTTCTGTTCAAATCACTTGCCAAAGTGTTCGGTATTAATAAGTACTTGACCAGAAGTATCGGTACTTGTACTCTCCAGTAAAAAACTGGCATCGGTGCAACCCTACTTTATATATCTGCTCCAATGAGTACAATATGTAACTGAAATGTTCCTGGATTGCCCACAGCAAATGCAGAACAATGATAATATCCAGTACACCTCTCTCCCTCTCACTTTATTTTGCTTAAACTGTTTTGCTTTACTTCACAAACTTACATCAAAGCCACATTCTTGCCGACCACTACACAGTGCATGAAGACAGCCATACATATAAACAGTTCTTTTTAATTGATATAGCGTGATACACCAGTGATGTAAAACATATATGCAATACAATCCAAGCAGTCAAATTTCCATTCATTTAACAACATGCTAAACAAAAGCAGAAATGTGGTGGAAAATGTCAGAGTTATTTAACTCTTTGGTACTTAGGATATTGTTTTAAGGGCAAAATACAAAGTGCCATATCACCTTAGAGATGCCACCACTGAGCAATTCAACATCAGCAGATGAATGCTACAGTGAGCAATCGCTTACTACTATGGCTCAGCTCCATTGCTGACTAAAACTCTTAGGGCTCGTTCACACTTGACTGTTTTACCAACGCTTGCCAAATGCCCCTATAGCGCTTGGCAAGCATTGGTCCGGCGTTTGCGGAGCGTTTTTTAACGCTCGGCAAACGCTCCACAAACGCCGCATGCGCCGTTTAGCGGAGGTTGCTAGGCGTTTGCCGAGCGTTTAAAAACACACAAGACACGAATGCAAGGAGCACGTGCGGACAACAGGCTTATATGTGATCAACAACACCCCTCTGGGGGATGGACCGCAGAGGCCTGAAGGCATAAAAGACTCCCACCATGCTCTGCAGAAACCCAAGATGGATGCCAGCACATGGAGCAGCATAATCTCTGGGAAAAGGTAGGACCTTGACAGAAACTAGATATCACTATAGGGGGATGGTGTTTGAGGAATGGGTTAGGAGACTCTGCAGCTGACTTGGTGGCCCTGTAGGAGATAAGGTTTCTGGAGGGGCCTGGGGAGCACTGTGGACACTGTTGGAGGTTGGGGGCACTATGAAGGATTGGAGGTTCTGCAGCAGGCTAGGGGACACTGTGGAGGCTGAGAGCACTATAGGCCACTGAGGATGGTTGGAGGGGGCACTATGGGGAGGTTAAAGGATCTGCAGCTGGCTAGAGGACCAGGAGAGGAGAGTTTGAGGCCTGGCAATGATCTGAAGGGACTGCTACCATTTTTAAGTATTTTGTGATGTACCATGCAGTATATGCAACAAGTAGATGGGAGAGAAGGGAAGCCTGGGTGTCTCAAGAGAAAGAACACATGTGAAGTTGCCAACAGTGCAGTGAAGCATTGCTTAATTTTTAGAAGGGGTGATCCTTGAATTTTTACCTATTATGGTCACTCTCATTGTGAATTATTGCCTCACCTGCTTAATCAGACCTTTTCTGTGCAGTATACTCTACATTCATTTCTATAGAGAGTTTGCACTCTTACAGAGTATGAGCTCTCCATAGAATTCAGTGGAGCATGTACAGTGCATGCGTAAGTCCAGCAGTCATGTAGCATAGATGTGCTGCACAACTAATGTCTTGTAGGATCCGAGACAGATAAATATAAGATTAGTAGCAGAACCTACAGAATATGTGTAACTGCACCTAAACAAGGGCTTTTGTTTAAAACAAATGGAAAAAAGGAAAATCTAGTTCATTTAGCTGCAGAAGACAGATGCATACAGTATATACCCACCAGAGAAGGGCTATAGGATGTACAAGGTATGCCCTAAGCCCTGAAAGTGGTTGTAAACTCTTACATATACCCAGTGAAGTGACTGGCTTCAGATAATATAGATAGAATAAACAAATTTTCCTGCACAAGTTACACCTGTTTATCTGAGTCTTCTTTTCTCTCAAAATGCAGAAATACCTAAGAGTGCAGAAACCGGGGCGGAGAACTAAAGTTACACTCTTCAGAGCTCAGTGTGGAGAGCTCTGAGAGCTGATTGGAGGGAGGAGACACTCCCTCCTCCACATAGCTCACAAAAACAGAGCTAAGACTGTCAATCTGCTGGAGGTCCCTCCTCTGTCACCATTTTTCTTTTGGTGTCAGGAAAACTTGTCAGAAGTGACTCACGAAGATAGCAGAGGAATGAGGCAGCAGACAGAAATGACACTTAGTGCTCTTAATTTAGACAAATACACACTATAGAGGGATATGCTTTGTTCATATTACATGTCTGAGATTTACAACCACTTTAACTTCCAAAACCCTTAAAAAGGCTCTGCAACTCTCTACTAATTATGTTTACCAGGTTAGTACATTGTTTTTAGCAAACAAAAAATATAGTTGTCTTTGGAGTTAACATTACATTTCCTGTGTCAACCTCCTACAATTTCATACTTTGTAGCAATTGTATTTTTTAAAAGGTGACACATTTTCACACCTTTATCACTTTACTTCTGAGTTGAACAGCCTTATCTGAAAACGCAACTGAAGCTCAGCTTAGCAAGTCACCAGAACTTACATGTTATAGCAAGGAAGCAGAAAACAGAATTTCAGGTAAGATTTTTCAAACAACAAGGTTGTTAGAACCCCAATGGACATGTTTCTGAAACTATAAGGTATGGAGCAGGTCACATGTAGCTATTTAACGATGATACTAAGCATTCTTGACCTATGGAAGAGCTCACTATTGCACAGAAACGTTTTCTCATTGAGCAAAGGGATGGGTGTTATTTATGTTTCTGTTATTGCTGTCTATATCTGATTTACCCACTTCATTTGCATTGGTCATTATTCTCATAAGACATAAAGTAATTGGAAATTTAAAATTTAACAGCCACCACCAGAACAAGAGGTGAGAATATATTAGCCAATAGGGACACTTATTCCAGTGACAACTGACTAAAAATGGCAATTCCCCTTTTTCCGTAAAGATTTCCTGTTGCTGGAATGGACAAATCGGATTCAACTCTTGTAAATATCCCCCTCATAGATAATCATGAGAAAATGCACAGCAGGTCAGCAGGTAAATATTCAGGCCATTGGATGCTTGACAACCAGTGGAGGCATAGGTTTTTAGAAATGTACTAAAAATATATATAAAACATAAACATAATAGCAACATTTGATCATGTGAGGTAAGCAGAATGATGTGCTGTAAAATGTTAGCCACAACTTTCACTATAAAATCACACATTGTCATTTTGAAGTCATCTATGGGTTAAACAGAAAGCCGCCAGGGGTTGCCTTTGCATAGAGAGTTAAAAAAGGAAGAAAATAAATGTAGCAGATTATAATGTTATCACACTTTGCTGAGATCTTGTTATTATGCATGCCAACAGTCAAATCATATTTTCCAAGACACAAAATGCAATGTGCCATAAAGCTGAAATTATGGCTCAATATCAGTCCTATTAAAGAAAAAAAAAAAGACCTTAAAGAATGTGCATAGTCATACTGGGCGGTGGATTCCAAAGCTGAAGGGTAAACTATACTCTCTCCATTAAAAACAGCACTGATAAATCAGAGGGATTTACAGAATGTACATTTCTTCTTTTTCTTGCAGTGGTCTTGACTTGTACTTTACTGTATCAAAAGGAAAATTCTGCAGAACCATTCAGAAAAACTAGATGCACTACTTGACATAGCTGAGAAAATAAATGAGAGGTTGTCACAAACTGTCCATGTGTGTGTACTTCTCAGTCCTTTCATGTGGATGAGTACAGCGCCATTCAGCAGGGGATCTGTGAGAAGATCCCCTGTTGAATCAGAGCGGAATGAGACTGATGTTACTTTTGTGACATCTGTGCTCATTCAACATTTTGTCTGCATTTTTATAGTGGATTGAGGCGTATCCATGTTAGAGCTATGAGCTTCCAGACATAAATGGACTTCTATCTGTTTACAACAAGCCTCAGATCCTTCATGTTTAGGTGCAGAAAAACAGAAAAAGACAGGCCTTTTCCATTTTTTTCTCCCAGACCTGGATGGACATAGAAGTAGATGGATGTAAACAGACACAAATCCATTTACATCCACCTGCCATAGAGATGCATGGAGCTTTCATGAGGTCCACCTGAAAAACTAACAGGCAGACCTGATCCAATGCACGTGAAAAGGGCCTTCGACTTTAAAAATGTAAAGGGAATGTTTTTGGAGAAACCACGCAGCAAGCAGTGAACATACAATTCCACACACCTTTAGCTTTTCAAGAGATTCAGCATTTGCTGAAATGGTTAGAACCAGGGCAGACTGGCAACTCATGGGGCCCCCGGGCAATAGGGGATCATGGGGTCCCTGTGTCCTCGCCCACACTCAAACCACACCCCAAACAGCCTATGAAAGGTACCAGGGGCATCTCATGGGGCCCCCTACTGACCCCGGGCCCTCAGGCAGTGCCCGAGTGCTGGAATGGTCAGTCCACCCCTTGTTAGAACTCAATCCCTGGAATTCGTAAAGAGAGGTGCAAACCAGGGGCGGACTGACCATTTGGAAACTCGGGCACTGCCCAAGGGCCTGGGGTCAGTAGGGGGCCCCATGAGATGCCCCTGGTACCTTTTTCATAAGCTTTTTTGAGTTTGGGCAAGGACACAGGGGCCCCATGATCCCCTATTGCCCCGGGGCCCCATGAGTTGTCAGTCTGCCCCTGGTGTAGAAGTGTATTTTGTGTTTTCACTACTAAAGTCTTTGTGTGCCCCAGCTTCACTCACCGTGTCTGAAACATGTAAACAAATTTGTCACAAAAAGTCGACAGATCACTAGACATGCAGCACAGTTTACATCAAGATTAGAGATGAGCGAATTATTCAAAAATTCGGTTCGGCTGATTCGCCAAATTCGCCGATTAAATTCGCTTCGTGCCGAATATATTCGCTGCGAATTTCACTTATAAAAAGGGTGTTTCTAGGCTTCAGAGAGCCTTTATATTAGTGCAGAACACTGTACCTTTAATTTAAATGCCCTTGGAGTCTGCTGGGGAAGAAAAATAATACTGTCAGTCAGTATGACATGCAGATGAGTGCCGTCGATCTTAGAATCACCGCACACTTCACTCATTTGGGCAGTCACGGGGCCAAAACCAGAGTGTGGAGCCACAGTGTGGCGGTGGAGGCAGCAGCAATGGGAGGCCATACAGCACCCTATGACAAAATGGAACCCACCAGCAGTGTGAGGAGACCTGAAAGTGGCACATGGCAGAGTGTGGCGATGGAGACAGCAGCAATGGGAGGCCGTACAGGGACCCATGACACACTCTGGACCTGGCAGCAGCATGAGGAGGCGGTACAGGGGCCCATGACAGATTACGGGCCTGGCAGCAGCATGAGGAGTCGGTACGGGGGCCCATGGCAGATTACGGGCCTGGCAGCAGCATGAGGAGGCGGTACAGGGGCCCATGGCAGAGTGGCGGAGCGTAAGCAGCTAAAATTGAAGGCCATACAGAGGCCTATGTTAAAAAGTCCCCCCAGCAGCAGCGTGGGGAGACGACTATCAAGAGTCCAATGGCAGAGTGGCGGAGCAGAAGCAGCTTCAATTGAAGGCCATACACAGGCCTAGGTTTAAAAAGCGGAAGCCGTCAGCAGCGTGAGCAGACGACAGAGACACATGGCGCAGGGTGGCGGTGGATGCAGCAGTATTCGGAAGCCAAACACAGGCCTCGGTTAAAAAGCGGAAGCCGTCAGCAGCGTGAGCAGACGACAGAGGCACATGGCGCAGGGTGGCGGTGGAGGCAGCAGCAATGGAAGGCCATACAGCACCCTATCACAAAATGGAACCCACCAACAGTGTAAGGAGAACTGAAAGTGGCACATGGCGCAGGGTGGCGGTGGAGGCAGCAGTATTCGGAAGACATACACAGGACTAGTTTAAAAAGCGGAAGCCGTCAGCAGCGTGAGCAGACGACAGAGGCACATGGCGCAGGGTGGCGGTGGAGGCAGCAGTATTCGGAAGCCATACACAGGCCTAGGTTAAAAAGCGGAAGCCGTCAGCAGCGTGAGCAGACGACAGAGACACATGGCGCAGGGTGGCGGTGGATGCAGCAGTATTCGGAAGCCAAACACAGGCCTCGGTTAAAAAGCGGAAGCCGTCAGCAGCGTGAGCAGACAACAGAGGCACATGGCGCAGGGTGGCGGTGGAGGCAGCAGCAATGGAAGGCCATACAGCACCCTATCACAAAATGGAACCCACCAACAGTGTAAGGAGACCTGAAAGTGGCACATGGCGCAGGGTGGCGGTGGAGGCAGCAGTATTCGGAAGACATACACAGGACTAGTTTAAAAAGCGGAAGCCGTCAGCAGCTTGAGCAGACGACAGAGGCACATGGCGCAGGGTGGCGGTGGAGGCAGCAGTATTCGGAAGCCATACACAGGCCTAGGTTAAAAAGCGGAAGCCGTCAGCAGCGTGAGCAGACGACAGAGACACATGGCGCAGGGTGGCGGTGGATGCAGCAGTATTCGGAAGCCAAACACAGGCCTCGGTTAAAAAGCGGAAGCCGTCAGCAGCGTGAGCAGACGACAGAGGCACATGGCGCAGGGTGGCGGTGGAGGCAGCAGCAATGGAAGGCCATACAGCACCCTATCACAAAATGGAACCCACCAACAGTGTAAGGAGACCTTAAAGTGGCACATGGCGCAGGGTGGCGGTGGAGGCAGCAGTATTTGGAAGACATACACAGGACTAGTTTAAAAAGGGAAGCCGTCAGCAGCGTGAGCAGACGACAGAGGCACATGGCGCAGGGTGGCGGTGGAGGCAGCAGTATTCGGAAGCCATACACAGGCCTAGGTTAAAAAGCGGAAGCCGTCAGCAGCGTGAGCAGACGACAAAGACGCACATGGCAGAGGATGGATCTGGCAGCAGTATGAGAAGGCGGTACAGGGGCCCGTGGCACAGTGTGGTGATGGGGGCTACAGCAACTGGATGCCAGAAAGTGGCCGATAGGGCTATATACTGCATGACTACATAGGTGGTTTTTATAGTACTTTATTTTGGCCTCCCTCTCAGCAGGTGTGAAAAAGGGCCACCATTTTTGAACGGTAGCGAGGGTCCAACAAGGTGGACAGCCAAAAGTCATCCCTCTGTCTGATGGTTATTATTCGGCTGTCGCTACGCAAGCAACCGAGCATGCTATGGGCCATTTGTGCCAAGGAATGCGAGGGACTCCCTGCCTCCATCTCCACAGCATACTGCCACGGTGCGTCTGGGTCCTCTGTCTCTCCTCCTCCTCCTCTACCAGATGCTCCTGCTCCTCCACTCCTGTCCGCTGAGTGGAAAAACCACCCATTTCACTCAATAATTCCTGAGCACCAATGTCCTCCTCTACCTCCTCCTCTTCTTCCTGTCCTGCCCCCACAGGGGTCATGTGGCGTTGAGATCTGTGCGCCACGTCTACCGCACCCTGACCAGCCATTGTTAACAGCATTTGTTCCAGGACGTGCAACAGAGGAATGACGTCGTTCATCCCATAGTCCTGCCGACTCACGAATAGCGTGGCCTCCTCAAAGGGCCTGAGCAAGCGGCAGGTGTCACGCATGAGCTGCCAATGGCTGACATCTAAGTTACACAGGGGAGTACCTTTATCCGCTTGTAACATCAGGAAATCGGTGATGGCCTTTCGCTGTTCGTAAAGGCGGTCTAACATATGTAGGGTTGAATTCCACCTTGTTGCAACGTCGCAGATCAGGCGATGCTGTGGAATTCCGTTCTGCCGCTGCAGCTCAAGGAGGGTGTGCTTTGCGGTGTAGGAATGGCTGAAATGCATGCAAAGTTTACGTGACATTTTAAGGATGTCTTGCAGTGGGATGGTGGATTTTAGGAACCGCTTGACAACCAGATTGAACACGTGAGCCATGCATGGCGCATGGCACAACCTTCCTTGACGCAGAGCAGACACCATGTTCTTTCCGTTGTCGGTCAACATGGTTCCGATTTTCAGTTTGCGCGGAGACAGCCATCTGTCGATTTCTCTGTTCATTACACTCAGAAGTTCCTCCCCTGTGTGACTACGTTCGCCAAGGCATACCAGGTGCAGCACAGCGTGACACCGTTGCGCCCTGCACATGTGATATGCCGGTCGGGTAATGGGACTTGGCACGGGGGTGGCGGCTGAGGACACGGCGGAAGAAGAGGTGGTAGAGGCGGACATCTTTGCTGGACCAAGGACGTGCAAACGTGGAGGCAAAAGCGGCGTGACCTGTCCAAGTTGCTGGTGCGGCTGTGCCGGCACCACGTTCACCCAGTGGGCCGTAAATGACATGTACTGTCCCTGACCGTAGTTACAGCTCCACACGTCGGCGCTGCCGTGCACTTTGGCAGAGACCGACATGCTCAAAGACTGGCCCACCATCTCTTCTACATGTGAATGCAGGGCTGGCACTGCCTTTTTGGCGAAGAAATGCCGGCTTGGCACTCTCCACCGCGGCTCGGCACAAGCCATCATTTCTCGGAAAGGTGCTGAGTCCACCACTTGGAAAGGGAGGGACTGCAGCACCAGCAACTTGGACAGGAGGACGTTCAGCTTCTGCACCGTCGGGTGCGTGCTCGCAAACTGTTGTCTCTTGGAAACGGATTCCAAGAAAGACTGCTGACGGAATCCGTGAAGAGGAGTAGCAGGAGAAGGAGCATCTGAACGAGCGGAAGATGCCAACGAGCGACAACTCCCCTCAGCAGAGGTGTTGGAGCCTTGACTGGCTGATAGAGGGCGATTGACGTCGGGTGACGGAGCAAGTAACGGAGCGGGTGATGGAGCGGGGGCTGGGGCAGGCAGAACCGCCGTATCTTTATCACGGTTTTCCCAGGCCACCGAATGGCGACGCTGCATATGCTGACGCAACGCTGTAGTCCCAACATTGGCCCCCTGGCCACGCTTGACTTTCTGGCCACATAGTCGACATACGGCTACGTTTACTTCCTCGGGCGGCGTGACGAAAAATTGCCACACCGCCGAGTAGGAAACTTTGCCCCCCCCGCTACTCCTCACTGGCTGACTGCTACTTCCTCCGTGCACACCGGCACCACTACTGGCCGTGGTGGTAGGCTGCAGTGGAGCTGGTGCTCTACTCCGTGGCCGTTTGGCTCCACTGACACTGCTGCGACCCTGCTGCCTCCTGGGCAACCCACCGACTGTTTTGCTCGCTGGCAAGCTGGCACCCTCTTCTCCTGATGATGCGGAAGCAATAGCCTGATGACGACGAGGCTGCCAAGTGCGATCAGCCTCATCATCATCAATTAGGGTCTCCGCGTCACTACTAGCCCCCTCGGCTGCGTGTGGGTCAGGAGACAGACCTGTCTCTAGACCGGCTACCGAGCCACTCTCCTCGCCAGTACTTCTTCGCCTGGCTGCTGAAGAGGCGGATGTCTCCCCCCGTTCCTGACCGCCCTCTGTTAGCTCTTCCTCACTGTACAGTGGGGCTGAGCCCACAGCATGCGATACTTC